GGCAGATAGATGCATAAATACCAAACAGCACGCGTATATGGAAAGATAAAATACCATTAACAGGATTGACAAAGACAAATACATAAAGGCATGCAAAGTAACTCGTAAGGTTAGAGTGGTTTATTTGTCATCTGATCATTCTGGCTTCAAGTTTGTTCAGAACATGATAGATTTACGGAGGAGTGTAATAAAGATTATTACAACTTTATATTCTGTCATCTGATCATCTAAAACGTTTCAACCTACTTTTATTTATATGAACCGGGAGTTTTTACTTACTGACAATGCATATTAAAGCTGATTCTGAAGTACCTTGAATGTTTTACTGTTCACATAACCTTAATGTTGTTGTTGCTAAAATTCTTAAGTACTCATCAGATGTCGTGTTGTATGAGTTCAAGATTAACTGGACATGTTGAGACTCGAGGAGCCCAGTACGTACGAATTACTCTTCATATATGAGGCATATTCCACAATACTGAGTGAACTCGTAATTATAAATAAAATAATATATTTGTAATATCCCAATGAGTAGAAAATTGGATTTTCTGACGTTTCGTGACTTAGTATAAGTCACTTCTTCAGAGAATAAATAACCAAACTAAAATTAATCCAAGTTTAAATAGTACAACGGAACAGTGCAAGAATAATATTTGATCAATCAAAAAACAGGTCTGAACAAGTTGATGTCATGTCATTTCTGTCAAGGTGATTTATAAGTGATATGTATGTAAATTTGTGTGTATGTATATGTGCATTGTTTAAGAACGAAAACTTGTGTGACCTTTATGGTAAGAAAGGATAGAGTTTAAATTTGTAATATGGTAGTGTGAAATTGTAAATACGATCAGACTGAATGGCTAGGATAGATGGTCCAAGTAGGATGTATAGTAAGACCTTTCTATTGAGAGAAGTAGGATTAAGCATTATATGGAACGCCTCAGCTACCCTCCTTTCTTTGTCGTTGGAAAATCCAATTTTCTACTCATTGGGATATTACAAATATATTGTTTTATTTATAACAATCAACCCAATGCTCAATTTATTCGAAATTATCAAATCAAACCTTGGTAATGACACCTATGAACTCGTAATTAGTTGCCACCAAACCTAAATAAAATTCTATATAAAATTGTAAACCGCATTCTGTAACCTGAAAGTTGAACGGACAACTTTTAGTTGCTTATTGAATATTGCCATATTAGTGAGCTGTTTATTTTTAATTGAGATGATTGAATCTTTTTCTCTGTAGGAACGTTTGTGGTCCATTGTACACTCGTGTGTGTAGGTTAGCTAATGAAAGTGCATACCATTCTCAAGCTATGACTATTTGTTCCGCCTTTGCTGGTGCTAATGGATCTTGCAACGTTGGATCTAGTTCTGGAACGTTTCCATCCAGTACTAGTCAAAATAATACGAATGTTACTTCCAACAGTAATACTAATTCCTGGCCAAATTGTTTTCTAATGGTGGTACTCTCGGAGTCATCTACTATGCTTATCCGCCTTATGAAACCTATGCATTCAACAAAACTTGAAGGGGAGAAAAGTTATGATTCATGTTTTCCTCATTCCGGTCACACAAAGCTTAATCCTCATTCATTATTAGTTACTTCGGATGATCCTGGCATCGTAGATGGGGAGGTTCGTCTTCACAGAGAAAATTTAAAATCGAATTTTTCAATCCGGCATTGGTATGACTATCTTACAACTCATCTTTCATGGACTATTGGTTATGTTCCACATAGTATCTGTTCTCGTATTCGACCGGTATTTCTATATCGGAATGTTCGTAGGTGCGTAAATGCTTTGACGCATGATGCACTTCAAAGAAGACAACAGCTACTTGTTGATACCGGAGATATACAACCTGAAGAGGTTTGTTAACTGTCGCCATTTTATGTATAATTTGCTTAACCTTATTTGTAAACTGTTTTTGAAAGTGCCTTTATCCCTTTTTCAAAGGTTTTCACGAATTAGTTGCATATAGTTTCTTGACAATGTTGTAAAATGTTAGCGAGATATAGATTGGGTTAAAGCATGTTCCGTGCAGGGTTGTGTTGGAACACGCTGACTAGCTACTTCCTAACCAATCGGCGCTAGTGGATGCTTGGATAGGCCGTGGTTAGCGTTCTTTTAGCAAGGTTATTTTCTACGGTGCGGGGTTGCTGATCCCATGCTTAACCCTTCTCGTTTACCCGGGCTTTGAACCAGTAGTAACCCTATTGTGATTCTTGCTTCCATTCACTCTTGTTTATTCAGAATATAATTACTTTCATGTTCAACCACGTCCTGATTTGGCATTTGTCAAGTGAAGTAACGTCTGAAGAATACTAAGTAATAAGAGAATTAACAAGTACGGTAAATTGAACACAAAACACCACCACCTATGTAGTTATTCTTAACAAATTTGATATTGTTTCGACAGTTATATTGTCAATATGTCCTGCTTCGGTCTGGGCACCCGGGGATTATCAGAGCGCATATCTATTCGGTGCCCCTTCGTACCAATATTTATGTGTTCAAACCAATAAATAAATGTCGATATGTGGAGTAGTCTTAATCAATATTACCAACTTATCATTAAGTCTGTTAACCTCTTTCTGTTCTCGAAGTTGGTTTCTGTGTATTTATTTACTGTGGTGATGGGTTAGTATTCTACTGTTTATGTATAATCAAAACAACTAAAACTGCTTTACTTCTGATTTGGTTTTTTAAATTTTAGATTTTATCACAAGGCTTAGTCTCTAGTGGTGTTAAGAATTCAATCTCAGCAAACAAATCGGAAACAAATGAACAATTTAAGTCTCCTAACACATCAAATTTTGAACGAGATGTTTGGGAGTTCATGATCCGAGTATTCAAAAATAATCTCACACATAAAGAGGTAAATTTATTTTGATATAATTCTACTTCTTTATTCTGTTTTGTGTGCATAGGTATAATCATTTGAAAGTGGGAAATCTCCATAAAGATTATAGCAGTTAGATAAATTGTACTTAGCAAACTGTGATTGTGTTAATGTTAGGATTAAAAAAGCCGTTCTTTATTTAAGGTGTCAATTGAATGATTGCATTATGAAATCCAATGGTATACTAATCATACTCAGTTCATTTATCCTTCATTTTAAATAAACCCATAGTATCAATAATTATAATAAATATACAATGGTTAGTTTGACCATAGTAGTTTGTATACAGTTAATTCTGAATACTGTTACTTGTTGTATAAAGAGGTCGACAAATCCCTTGGAAAGCGTACTATATTTACTGTTTGTAAAAATTACATAGATCTTTATTCTGAACTACCTAGTTAAATCAAAAGTCGTGTTTATTTACACAGTTGTATGAATTATTTTCCTTTTCCATAGTTATTCCGTGATACATTTTCAAGTGATTGCATGCATTTCACTGAGCGTTTGGATTCAAGAGTTACTCGTAATCACAAAATAAATTGGTCCGTCGGTTCCTATGGGATTTTCATTCGATATCGTAGACGAGTGAGTTGAAGTAAAACAATGCCATGTTATTATTCTTTTTGAAAGCAGCTGCTATCACTCAATTTTTCTATCGGATTTTGATGCGTATTCAGACGTATATTCCCTTATGAAAAATAAGTATTTTAAGCCTTGAGCATCCAATTTCTGGAGTCATATAATTGAGGTTAGAATTCACATAAGCAATGTTGCTGTTCAAATAGTTGTCCTATCGTAGTTTACCATAATCTATGATGTATAAAAAAGGCTCGTGATGTTAATCTGGGAATACAACTTGTTTGTTCTATACCGATCATTGTTTGTCCATGATAGTATTTAATTTTAATATTTCTGTTTCAGACTTGTCGAAACTATTCGCCTTCCAAGTGGCACAAATTCCACTCTGATTGGCTAGCAAAGCATCCTAACTGTATTCATTCACAAAATAAAGATAAAACACAAAATGTCAAGCCGGAAATAAACCTTGAGATTGAGGAAGTACGAAGTTCTGCTACCAGTAGCGGAGTAGAAACAATTATCCCAGAAAAGCCTACTCACGAAAAATTGGATATTGAAGTGAATGACAACCCTTTTTTCGGCGAGGTACAAAACACTTCAACTGTCAAATATTCTAATTAACAATGTGGCGATCCGAGGATTTTACAACCTCAGAAGAACCAAATGCTCCAATAAACATTTCTTTTTCACGTTGTAAATATGTTTTCTAGCTTAGCTAACTGACCAATAATAAATTTACTTTATACATGTACATACAATATTACTTATTATAGTGCGAGCAGTCCATGTGTATTTTGCTTTTTTACCATCACAACAATGATAAAAATAATCTCCAATTTAATAATTCATTCTTCACCTTTAAATTGTTTTCGGTTTATTCAATGATATGTATACATATGCCACTTATCCAGACTGGTTCTGCTCTTATTTTTATTTTGTTTAAATGAACTCCACATACATGCATTGTATTATTGTTTGTTATCATACAGTACTACTAAATGTGGACGCTCTCTCAATTTTGAAAATAATAGCGTACATGGTACCGATTAGTTGAGTAATTTGCGCTATTTTGTTTATTGTGACATTTGGATATATATTGTAATATTTCATTTCTATCAAATCTAATATGTAACCCAAGTTTACAGAATTTACTCTCTCTCTCTCTCTCTCTCTCTCTCTATATATATATATATATATATATATATATATATATAATCCATTAAAGGTGAGTGAAGCCCTACCTATTGATGGTAGCATGCTAGTAACAATTTCTACTGTATAGTATAGCGGAATTCAACTTGAGTGTATGCAACATTTAAGCTTAGATTGATAACAGACAAGAATCGCTGAACATTAATATCATTTCATGGATCACAATGTAGAATTCTAAAAATTCAACTCCTAACTTGGAAACGTCTCTACTTCACTTCAGATGTTAGAAAGGGTTAACTATTTGCGTTGAAGCTCGTTAGAAGTGTTAAATAAGTTTGAAAAATGTGTAACGTTTGCTCGAAAGCTGTTTATTTCATTATGATTAAAATATAATGCAAACATAGTTTTATTGACAAACAATTTTTATGTCTGTACAAAGTTGTTTAAAAAAGTAATAGCTCAGTCTTTCACATATGATAATCAAAGTGCAATTTTGTAAACATGACCAGCTGCATTGTGAATTTTTGTAGGTCGCGGTTCTGTTAGTACCCATTCATACCACACATACCGACTACTTACATTACGCCAGAGATACAAGGTGATCTTATCTTTAGAACGAACATGGATTGGATACTCGAATGGGAATACCAATGGGAACCAAGATACCATTTGAGGGCTATGACGGTCCGGATGTGTACCTGGAAAATAAGAATTATATGAAATTTGTATATAATTTCAGGTCATATTCAGGGTCTGGTACTTTGAAAATTCTAGATAGTTTTGTTAATACATTGATGTAAAGCAATCACCAAATGGATGCTTTTCGTTAAGTCGATAAGCATACGTAGGAAAAAGGTGAGTTTAGTGAGAAAGCTGATTTTTAAATGCGACTGATGTTTACCAGTCAATTTCTACTATGTGTGAACTGAAAGTAATCACCTAATAAAAAACGGACGAGACCTTATTCAGTGCGGTAATTACTTAATGGTTGGTTACCAGTGCAGGTTGAACTGTATACAACGTACTCTTGTTTGAAGAGTTGGGGAGTATTATCAACCATCACTACTCGGAGATGTCTCAGCCGTGTGCTGCAATCACAAGGTTATTTTTCATTTAGTGTGTAGAATTACTGAAAAACGATTAGGTGCTTTACGAATAAGAATATTTTGTTTTCTTTGGAAATCTGTTCCATATAGGTAGTAGTACAGTATAGTACAAAAACTCAAACATAATTGAAGGCAACAACAACAAATGATTTGAGAGAGAAAAATAAGTTGATAAGAACATAAGTGAAAGAATGTTAGCTAAGTGTCAAAAGCTGTTTACATGTTTTATTTGACTGTTGTCTAACGATTACGCACCTAGATGTAAAAGGAAGATTCTTAATTGTTAGGTGACACCAGCAGTTTTTTCTAATTACCTTAAAAACACTTGAGATTTTACAAGCATGCAGTCTGAGTTAACACTCAACATACTAATAGGAGCGGATCATTAGTCATTTTTATGTACGTCGAATAGAAAATACATGCTTAGTTAATAAGCACTACTGTGACAATCAGTTTTAGAAAGAAAAAAGAACGAGGCTTCGTGATATGTTAACACGTAGTATGACCCTTGATACCCATACAGATTTAAGAAAAATACGCTATTTTATTAAATAATCAGTAAGCAAACGAGTTTGTGCAAAAATACTCGCATTGTTGGTGCTAAGAGTTGAAACTGATCAGTCTCTTGGCATATATGCATATTATGTGGCTTGCCTGGAAACCAACGTGGATTCTTGCGAAACTTCCCTCAAACACATGAATCATAATAATTCTCAATAACTTACTGAGTGTTACGTCCTTATAGAGAATTGCTTCGAAATAACCGGCAATTCCATGTACAACGGCATCTTGTTGAATGTTAAAGCTACAACACACTTCACGTGCATTCGACTGATTCGATTCTAGAAAAAAAACGAAATGTCTTATTGTTCGATGGAAATATAAATACTTAAGAATGGAAATTTTTCTAACTATATGTGTTATATGCCGATGAGAATAATGAATGGTAACTGTTGCGATCTACTTCTGGACTATTACTATACGTATACTTTTATCGTATGATTGTCAAATAACTAAACTATACATATTCTGTCCCTCTTATTATGAGCTTTATTTTGACCTATGAACTATTATTATAGGATTTACCATTCTTGAGTTATACGCAGTCTATCAATTGCTATCTCCCACATTCATTGCCACTTTTGGCTAAATCTTTTACAAATGTTGTTTCCTATTTTGTGGTGTGATGTGGTCTGTTTGGTTGGTATATAAACCCAGTATGTTTGAAATTATTTATATTGCAGAGGCTGAGATTGGTGCTCTGGACTTAACAGGCAGGGCTAGGCGGGAAGCACGACCGATAAGGACTCTAGACTGCTCGTGCTTGTTTATGCGTCATTGGTTCGGTCGATAATTCACTGTTCTTGAATTGACGGTATCATTACGTTATACTTTAATAAGACACAGGACATAAGATATAACAATAAGCTTATTCACTCACCTTTTTTTGGATGTTCAAATGTAAAAGCTGGTTGAGGTGAACTCAATATTTGACAATTACGAAGTCGAACAACATAAGGTGTTTCCATGGAATGCCCGACTCTATTGGTCTGCAGTATTGAAAAAGGTACAAGTAATGAAGTAAAACATTTATCAAGGCAATTTTGTCTCTTTAAGTTTAAAGCAACCAATTAACCAGTCACTAGGACTGGTCTGGAATAAATTAAAACAATGTGGGTGGGATGACAATTGGTAACTAATTAAAAAATACCATATTCATTTTAATGTCGACCTTATCCCCAAGGGAAAAAGATGTGTATTCATGAATGTGCATATATTCTCGATTCAATCATAGCCAATAAAGTTGCTTTTACTTAATAAGATGGTTTGGAGCTTGCATTTAGGAATCTTGTGTATTAGCATTAGACACGAATGACTGTATAATGTAACAATAATTAGCAACTAGTCTATCACACATAAAAAGCCAAAAATATTAGAACTACGGTTGAGTGAATCGCTTGTGCATATGTTACTACCTTTGTACACATAGTTCAAGTATGAAACATTGAATTGTCAAGCGGTTATGTAGTGCCGTTACACAACAAAATAGTTCGTACCCATGACTGAACTCAACAGCAACAACGTAACACTTAATCAACAGATGCCCATTGTTTTCTCAATACAAAAAGTTGCTGAGATAGGATACATGAAACGGATCCACAAAAAAAACTTTAAAACGACTGTTGCGAAGGAGATTCACTTATTCAATGCTAGTCTCAACTACGCTGAAGTGTAGTTTATTGGATCTTCGATTATCATTTATAATTTACACAGAATAATAACAATAATACTGCTCTTCATTATATCTAAAAACTTGGAAACAAATCAGAGTAACCAACCACTTACCACATCTTTAGATCGTCTAGTTTCATTATATATTTGTAAGGACTGTAAAGGAGCAACATATGATGTGTAGGAACATGGTATACTAATTCCATCATCTAAGTGAAATGAATAAGAATGCATAATACGTAAACGATAAGACTCAAATGTTCACTAGTTCATATCAGAAAAGAACATTACCACATTTACTTCTTTTTATAGGAGAGGGAATTTTAACAAATGCAAAAAACACACAAAAGTTAGTTAGAAATTACAAAATGTTATGAAAGTTATTCTGATAGAATTGAAGAAACATTAGTAAGTAAAAATAACTATATCAGTAGCTTGCATCACGGACTAATTTTGACTAGAAAACCATTGTTAACTACGAAACATTGAATGGCTATTTTGTTCTAGTCTGTATATGACTTCTCGACAGTTTTTACCCATAATTGCACCTGGAATTGAACACACTACATTCCAGGTCCTGGACAAGAGAGGGTTAACTTAAGACCACTATGTTTGGATCCACTGGTTTGGTTTGAATTTTTAACTTTTATCGGTTAAGACCGCTCTCCCGGAACTTCATGAATTCCTCACGATATATATATTTCAGTGTAGGGAGGTAACCAAGTCCAACATTTTTGTTACAGAACAAAATCTTGTCAATAAATACAAAATAAATTAATAGACATGATCTTGAATATTTGCTTTACCTATTATACAACCTGTTCTGTAGTTATCCGAGATGACTTGTTTTTGAATATATATAATTATAAAACTTTCATAGAGAACTCTATCTGTATGAAATGAAAGTTCTTTTCAAAATGTTTGGGCTTAATTTACCATATTTAACAGCTCTACCTTCTATCAATTCACTATTCAAAAATCTTATAATTTACCTGCAAATTTGAATTATTCCTAAATAAACATAGACGGTAATGACAGCTGTGCAGCTAAATCATTTTTTCCAGTCTGCAAGAGGACTGGAAATGAAATAAATTGGCTAACAACTGTATGATTGCCGTTATGAACTAACTCAGCAATAATATTAAGTTGCATAGATTTATTTATTTATCGATCTGATTCTGAGATGATTTATTAGCAAGTATAAATAGACGATAGTTAAGGAAAAGAGAGCAGAGTAAATAATTGGATATTGACATCTACAGAAGTAACATTGAAGTCGAACTGTTTCATATATTACTTTGTTAAAAAGAAAATTTTAAAAATAAGGGTGTCGGCTTTTCAATTATAAACAAAATATCAAATCAAATATTACTGACAGTTAAAGAGACAAATATCTTGAATAATAGCAGTTTACAATCAAACTTTTTTTTCTGAAATCCTATGAGAAACAATTAAAGATTGATTTTTGTTTTAGTTCATACAGAATAACTGAAAATGATAGTTAGATAAATAGGCTAAACAATATGATGTTATTGTTTAAACTTAATAAATTGATGCATATAAGTTGAACTAGGAATTCTCTTTTGTTAATTGATAGCTAATTTGGTAACCTACGACGACCTAATGTTGAGTGAACATAAATTGCATTAAAAGTGTATATAATGAACTAATCTAGTAAAATGAGAAATAATTTTTATCATATTTCATTGTTTTTTTTTGTTGTAATAAATAATTCTGTGTCATTCACATAGTGTATTCGTGATTATTTAGTGCATTCAGCAGAAAGGTTTGTAATCGAGTGATTAAAGTGTTAAAATGATAACAATTTCTCTTTCAAGGAAAACCCATATCATGTAAAAGTTTGATATGATGGACATCGTTTTAAAAATTAGTTACAAATTAGAAAGGAATACTTTTTAAAAGGCTTTGCATTTAGTTTCATTACTAAGTCATCGATGAAGGCGATCTTGTTCGACATACCAATTGTTTAAAAATGCAAATTTAGAAACTATTAAATATTTAGGACTACAATATCAATATTCAATATTGAAGTCCAACTATGATTAGTGAGTAAAATGAATCGAAATCCGCTTAAATTATTTAGATGAGTATTAAGTACTCTTTGCTGTAAAGTGGATAAATGTGATTCCTAAAGTATTATTACACAAACATTGAGAAATGGGATCAAGTGAAGAATCATTGAACAGGGAATTGTTAACAGTATGCAGCCTGACAATTGCATGTACTGATCAAACGAAAATACGAACGAACTGATTGATCCATTCTTAACCAATCAGTGCTTGTGGATAAGTCGAAATGCCACAAGATTTCTATATAAATTATAAAAATATATCAATGCTTTTACTACGGGTACTTTTGTTGTTCAGCTTATTGAAATATGTATTATTCACCGTAAATTTTTGTTTTAATTAGGAAGATACGTGTGAAGTATCATAGTCAAGAAAAAATAGACAGTAGAAGCATATAAGAAGAACATATGATCACTTTAGAATAAAATATTTAATCTGACACAGTCAAAAGAAATACTTACCTTTTAGCATTGGTTGTGCACCATCTAAACATTCTGGACTTAATTCATTATCACCAAATGAACCAAGTAGTTCACTGACAAATATATCAGCTTTTTCTGGTGTTTTTAAATTACGCATATCACCTTCAATTAGTTGTACATCTAATCCTTGCCATTCATGATTTATCCTAGACTGAGTTTAAGGCAAAAAACATTGAAAATATAAACTGAACAAGAAATGAGATTAGGTAAAACGATCATAGATTTTCAGTATAGGGGTTGTGGAGATTATTAAGTTTTTGATTGAGATCATGAACCGAGTGATGTTAGACCACCATTGGAAACCTGGACGGCCGTTCCGTCATATTGTGAGACTCCTCAGCAGTGCGCATCCACGATCCCGTGAGCGGGATCAATCGGTTCATGATCTCAATCAAAAAAATCATAAATTTGATATAGCTCAAAATATTTTTTGATGAATGTTTAGAAATGTACTTCTTGAAGCTGTAAAGATGCATAAGTTTATCGTAAGTTTATAAAATTCTCAGAATAAGTATTATTTTCTTTTTTTTCACAGTCTAGTAATCGATAACTATTTGTAGTATTGTTTACACCTATGTTTTTTTTATTTTGATGCACTAGTTTTACATATGTAGCTATATAAATTGATACATTTGTGTCAGATCCTACGTTGCTTAAAATTAATTTGGGACAAATATTCGTCGGATTAGAGAATGTCGCGTTACATATTACAACAGGGAGATGAGAAACGATGGAGTTAAACTAATAGTAATACCAAAGATAGTGCAATTCTATATGTTCATGTTCTCGTACTTAACAGAAACCTACAAGTGCAATGAATTAAAGTTAGCATCATATCTTGATAACAAACATACTAGTCAGATGAAAAGTTACATTTATTATTCGTCGTTGAAGCGCAGTTCGAACCTGTGACATTCCGGTTGAAAGCCAATTGTTTTAAAAACTAATTGCTAATTATGTAGTGTTATGCATATTGCTATTCAGTGTAAGCAACATCATAGTAACTCCACCTGTAGCCCTTCCAGGGTTACTGTCGATCCCAAGCCCGAGTAAAGGAGGGTTGCTAAAAAATCGCTAATCACAATAAACAATTTAAACTCTGCCATAGGATTCGAAGGATCTTCATCGAGAAGAATTATGACACTTCATGATGAAGGCCAAGATTCTTTGAAAGTCACGAGACTGATGCCTCGAGACACTTGGCAAGATCCAAGAGAGTGAAAGGGAAGCATTAGAGCCGACAAGCAGAAATACGTGGAAGACATAGCAATGACAGCGGAATAAGCTGCAACAGAAGGAAATATGAAACATCTATATGACATAACGAAGAAACTAGTAGGGAAATATGGTAAACCATGGGTTTCTTTGGTTACGATCAACCTTCGCCTTCTGATTTATTTGGCACGTGTTTCTTGGTAGCGGTGTTCATAGTTAATCTCGACTCGACGTCACGCTACAAGCTAAACAAGAACACGGTAAGTCAAAGCACCGACTGAATACACAAAAACAAACTGGAAGGGATTTCCAAGGACAGAGTTAGATGGAGATTGCTGTTGAGCGGCCTATGCTTCTTCACGAGGGGTAACAGGCGTAAGTAACATCATGGTGTTGGTAGTTAATTAAGCCAGATGCCAAATGGTCGGGGGGTTATTGAAAAGTTTTATAGGTGTGGATAGACTCAAAAATGCATTTTAAGAAAAGAGACAAACACAGTTGTGGTGATAACTTGCCAACAGATTTTTTACTAGAAACTTGTCTCTATACAATTAACTTTATCATAATTAACAGATATTCAGGAACTTACACGTAATGTACACAATGCATTTGGATTTTTTTCAATTGCATATATCCGAACTTTACATTGAGCTCTTTCAGCAGCATTTATAGTCGCATTGACAAGGGGACCACGACCTGCACCCAATACCATAACTACTTGACAAATATTTGAATTATGATTGATAAAAGCGTTTAAATGCTCTTTACTTTGTGATGATTGTGAAGTCTTGGTGAGACATTTTTCTTTAACTGTATTCGATTCATTATATTTAGATAAACGGTCGCAAAGAGCTTTGTAAATTGCCTAAATTATTACAAATATATTACCATTACTAGTGAGTTTTATAAAACCGATATTATAATTTTACTGTACTGGAGAGCAAATGAAAAATATAATTAGGAAAGAAACCCAATGACAGACAATTCTTTAGACTAAAGGCAAAATGATGAGTGTTTATTTTCACCCGACTTCCGTTTATATAAATTAATGCTCTACACTTGGAGACATTTGACCACACTACAGCTTGTACTTTAGATATAAAGAGAAGTAAGGTAAACTGTATTGAAGTCTTACACCGTGTATCTTTGGTGAAGGCTAGTAGACATTTAAATAATTGGATTTCGGCAGCTTTCATATCACGTGGGAAGACCGTTAATTTGCGAAAACGAAGACAATCGAAACAAAATCAGTAGACCAGGGTTCAAACCTGGAACTTACTCGTTAAAAGCTATGTTGTTTTTTACGTGAGTAAACTAAATAGAACGAAGAAAGCCATTGAAGCACCAAAACCTTTCAACATTTTCTTCAAACCCAGATAGCGACTCCTGACACAAATAATTTTAACTAACTTATTTAAATACATCTCCGATGTTGCTTACAAAATTGACTGTTTAGAAACTAATTGCATATCAAATAGCTGACATAATGGGACGAGTAGTATGAAAGTAGAACTCACAGAACTATCATGAGAAGAATTATTAATTATATTTTATTGTATGGTTGGTAGGAACTTGTACTGCTGTATTTCTATATTCTATTCCTATTCTTTCGTTTGATCCATATGTAATATATCCATATAACATAATAAACTGACAACCTAGAGTGACCTATTAGCCAATCAGTAGTGTTTAATTACAAGACAATAAGCAATGAAGAAAAAACTACGGTGGAATGATAGTTTTGATAGAATTAATTAAGCCTTACATTCTAAATTATTTATTATAGCAGAAATGGTCACGTTTATATATTAGGAGTTATGAGTTAGGGTTATAACGCTTTAGGTTCTTTGTCACCGACTAGCATCAGCTACAATGCAATGAAGCTTTGGGACTCTTGTGTATGAACTTAAGGAATTTAAGGATAAGATTTAGAGTTAAGGATTAAAATGGGAGAATATTATTTAACTACGTAAGCACCCTTGAACTGTGCCCTGAATCACATCAGATACATACACATACAGTCCCCGAATGCCCTGGTACAGTCGAGGGTGAGGAGAGTTTGCTCATCTCGAAATGCTCTCACATGACCATGTGCATACAACTACTGCCAGGGAGGTCCTACTCACTGAATCCTTGCGCCGAGGGTGTTGTTTACGAAATTGAGAGGACGAAAAGCGAATGTCGGGCGCCTTAACCGGGTTGGTGAGTACAGAGGATCCATCTAGGGGAGGTAGAAAATACCGATTTCAACTTAATGGTACACATGGGCTTCAGGATCCTGGGGAAACAAATAGCGTACGAACCTATTGTTGGTCACCGGCTACCATGGGACTGCACCTCCTAATGTTGCTTCACTGCCTTGTGCGGCGTATATATATTTGATGCCTCCTTGTACAAATATTTACGTATTTTATTAATTAATATATCAGGAGCAGGTATTTATTGTAATTTAGCTTAAGGATCATGTTGTGCTCACTGTTTGGGTGGATAATAGATATTTTTCATCTATTCAAAACACTGTAGAGACCAAATATTGCTCAATTTTACTTAGATCCTAGTAACACACAAGTCATCTTTACCTTTCATTACGCTTTTAATTTTGCGCAAAGACCTACGAGGCGTTATCTGAATTCCAACTTTCTTACTCAATGCTGCCAGTATAATATATTTTTACCACTGAGTTATTTACACATTGTAATACTCTGTGGTTACATGTGTCAAGTATATTATCGTATGTGTTGAGTCCAATAAAGGACTGATCTGCTTCCTAATTTTGTCACTTGGTTGGCCGCTGGGTCAGAAGGAACCCGAGCACCAATAGGCGTTAAGGTCTTCTTCATCGTTTATTGGTTCATGTATCAGTTGGTAAATATGGCATCCGTCCCACTGGTAATAATATGGGTGAACTAATCGATAAACAAACTAGAGGGAGATCACACAACTACTTTCCGATAATTATGCCCCGATCACACGGGACCAAATACATTCAAGCATTTTTTCAACATAACAATAACCTATTGATAGTTTCTTTAGAACGTGACCTACTTGATTTATAGACCGTAGAAAAAAGTAGATTCTTCATAAAATACTTCTGAATACTGAGAATTTGTTTTGTTTGTTAATAGTAAAGAAAATGAAACCATAACAGTAGACCATACTCATCTGTAGTCAAATCACAGACTAGTATATATATAATGTTGTTAATTGTCACATTTTATTTTTCTAAGTAATTATATTATGTACTGTCTATATCACTAAATAATCAGTCATGTGAAATAAATTTAATTCATGATCCCTAAGTTAAATACAGACATCCAAGCATGCCAAGGGGATGTATTCATGAAAAGTCATGACGTTATACTTATTACTAAACAATTAGTCATATTCTACATGAAACAACTAAGACAAAATTACTGTACATTTTAGGAATCGATCAATGAAGCATTATGATCTATTATCATAAATGTAATTCTTGATTAGAATTTTATTCATTTAATGTGCTATGTTTTGCTGCTGTGTACGTTTTGTCCAAATATCTATACTTGTTACCAGTTTCTATATTGATTTCATTATGTTTGCACTTTCCAAACGAATGAAATTGTAACACCAAGTTGTAATAATTTTAATTGAACAATCCCTAAATTACATTGTAGGGTACGAATAGAACATTTGTGAGCAAATTAAATCCGACACATGGTTATTAAACAGCTAGTGTTAACTAAAATGTTTTACACACAAATGGTTTTTTGAAAGCAGAAAGTATTATTTTATATCTTAGTTAAAACACCAGATTCTTCGAGAATGAAGATAAAATTTGCTAATGAATAATAAAAGGCAAAGAATCTCTAATCACTAGCTTTCTTGACTGCTTACTCCTCAGTATCATCATTAGATTAGCTTATTTACCAGGTATCTGGATACGAGCCACACTCTAAGTGTGAGGTTTAATGATACTATCCTAACCGAAACAGATGGGATGGAGCTCAGATCTGTGGCTCAGAGTTGAATGCCACAACCACTAAGCCGCCGCTTCACTCATAAGTTTTGCGTCAGGAATAGGATTAAATAGTTGTGGAATAAATAACAAATAAGGAAATAATCCACATAAAACAAATTAACTTAAAGACTTACAGTTTCATACGCTTGATATTTAAACGGATCCATTTCGAAAATTGAATATGTTGTAGAAGATAAGTTATCACGAAGTGGTTGCAAAGGTTCCTGAAAACAATGGCAAAATATAAACACAGAACATGGCATGAGTGGTGTTTAAACTAGTAATATACAATTTGATGTGTGTAGACCGAGTTATAAGTGATCAGGGAATCAGGACTAACGATAACATTCAAAAAATATAACCAATGTTAAGATAATGTGGTATTTTAAATACATAAAAAAGGACAAAAAGATATCACTTGAAACTGGTAATGAGTGGTACGTAACACGAGAAGCCGTTTCGGTCAGTTAGTCATATGTAACGTAAAACCTAGCACATAATGGGCATCAGTTGTCACTATATCGGTACAACCAAATGAAATTATAAAAAAAACACCATAGTAGAAGAGTCGGTTAGTCAGTCACTTACAACGTAGGACCAGGCAAATATATGCATCGGTTCAAGTTGCCACACCTCATTAGCACAACAAGACCAACACCAAATTCAGTTACCCCAATGATAGTAATATATAAAAGATCGTATATAAGGGTATAATACAGGAAGAAAAAATTAGTTCGTAGAAAGGTATAAAATAATTTTAATCTCACAGTTTAATTGAAGACAAAGTGTATACACCTACGCCATTGTAAACGATTCTGAGCCATATAGTGACAGTATCAGTGATGGTCGAAAAGATTAGGCATAGATATGAGTCGAGGACAATGAGTGAAACTGTGAAATGAAAGGCGCAAAGTAGTTTCAAAATACAATATCTAAGGGAAGACAAAGTAAACACATCTTTACTATTCCGATTAATTCTGACTCACGTCACCCAATGTCTCTGATCATTGTATGTGATGGTCGCCTAGACCTCAACCTGGTGGTCTGTGCCTAATGACATGGTTTGATTCAACACTCGGTGACTTGATAGACTGATGAAACGTCTTGATATGGCCACGCCTACGCCAGCAAACATTGCACATCGAGGTAGGCCTTTTCACGAAATTTAGTTCTTTTCAGACTTAGTACTATTAGGGAGTGAATATATACATTTTTAGGTTGTGGTGTAACTTAATCGTTTTGAGATTTTATAAACTCTAACTCTAATTCAACCACTATCGCACCAAATTCTATGCCGATATAATCGATATAAACCTGTAACTCAATAATTTAGATATACAGCTTCTAGCTACTAAATTATGCCAGTAAGAGGTTGTGGAGATGGTTGAATTTCGTTTAAATCAATCATGAACCGCTTCAAATTAAATCGTATGTTCGAAAACTTTTACTACCACAATTTGGGGTGGCTGTCTTTAGATAATAAGTATAGCTAATATATATTACATTTACTACACCTCAAATGGTTAATGGGTTGAATGTTTTCAAATGATAGAAGTTTAGCAATTTTATCTGATTCTCATATATAGTTAACGGTTCCGGTGTGGAAAAAACAGTGAAGTGTTCAAACAATTTTGACTATTGGTTGTACTTATTTCTGGTTTAACATAATGTAGAGAGAATACACCGCACTATTCAACTAAATATCGAACCTAGTTGAGGACGTCAACAAAGTGTATGGGTATATTTAGTAAAATAAACTTTCAAATGGATTGTGACATCTATTATCAGTTTATGTAGTTCATTTCGTAACATTAAATAAAGTCTTTTTTAAATCTTTTAAATTTTCTGTGTATATTAATTAAGAGGAAACTTTGAGTAGATTAATGTCATGTTTGTGTAATAAAACCAACCTGTAATTGATCTTCTAATCCCTTTGATTGTTCTTCATACAAGTCAGGAGCATCTTGAGATTGCCAAAGCCATGCAATATATTGTTGATAGGCTGCATAACCTTTATCATTTCGACAGGCACCAGTCAGTACAATTTGTACATTCAGCTATAAAGTGAGATTTGCAAACTTTCCCGTTACATTATTAATTCAAAAATAGACTGAATTAGTACAAAACATGAAAATTTAACAGGCATGTGCTTCATAATTAGTTGGTACAATGAAGAATTTAGTTCTTTCATGAACAGTCAGCTCTGGGAGAATTTAATAAAAACTCGACAGCGGTGATTATCAACTTTGTTTTAGTTTTTAAACTTGTTCACTAGGAGGCAACTAATGGAAGGACTTCACAGATCCAATTTTCAGATAATAAAAAATGAGTGGTAGATTATTGGTGCTATTACCAGCATTATTTCTAGCATAAAAGGATTGATTGACCACTCATCCGGTAGTTCTTGGTCTGCGGTAATTCTCTACTTTCCATCTTAACTGCTGATCAGAATTATTTGCTATTAGATTTCGTGAGCGATAGAAATTTGTAATGTGTAACTTTAATCAAGTCAGACATAAGAGCACATCCCTACTGGTGATATTAGAAAATAAATGTGTTGGAACACCAACCAACTTCAATTGAATAGTGAGGATCGTTAGATTTCTAACAAGTGACTCAAGAGCAATTTACTGATGGCAATATGTAAAAGCATTAATTCTGATCCAATAAAAAACAACTAGTCTAACACCACCGGGATCCTGACGGTGTTCAACAAATATGAGGCCTAGGCAAAAAAGATCTTTGAATTAACCAATTTTGTGAAGTCGTCTACTTCAATGGGATAAGGTGGTTACGAATTTAATGTCAGACAGTTGATGAAATAGTTCTCTAAAATATCCAGATACACTAGAACTAAAGTGCTAACAATTAAACTGGACTAACTGATGGTTGTATATAATCTATTCAGACTGAAGAATTGTTCCAGCTGGTATGAGTCTCAAGTGCAAAGACTTGAAATATGGATTAAGCGAATATTCATTTGTTCTTACAATGGTAACCATGAATAGGTTTTAAGGACGAAAATCTTGTTCTCACTAAAGTCATCCAAGTCTTGAAATTCTGTAGTTTTTCCAGGTGAGGAAATTAGGATGATTACCGGGATCAGTCTGCATTTTTATTGGCTTTTTAGTTTTGTGGTTTAATAACGATCTATTGTCGGCATTTTACAGCTATCTAGTTTTTTGTATAGTTGTATATAACAGATTACATCAACCCATATATTTTACAAGCAAAAAATATTCTTTTTGTGACCAATAATCCAACTTTAGACAAGATCAATTAGTTTTAATCGGTGTACAACCCAGGTGTTTATGAGATGTCAATTAATTTTAAAAATTCTAATTACAGAATCACTGGCCGATACTTAACTTCTTGAAATCCTAAGAGATCAACTTGATTGTGCAAACTTATCGTTCCAACGGTCCCTATAGTTTTTAGGAATCTAGTTAACTCGCTAGATGTATTGAGTTTTTGAAAGGAGGAGCAGTAGCCATGGTACAAATGAGTTAGTGTAAAGGAATAAATAATGTTATCAAAAGTTGGTAGCACAGTACTAATACACACGAAGACTAAACAGAAACTGAAGTGCGTTTACCTAAAGGTAACAAAACCATTTTATTATATCCATTAAAAGAAACGTATGGGAACTCATAAGTACCTTGAAGAACCGGTTGATGATATACTGATGACTCTTTGGTAGTACAGGGTAGCCCTTGGAATTGGTCAGGAACAGCTGTGTATCAATCAACAAACAAACCACAGGCTCACTAAACCATCTTGAAATCACTGACTCGTTGGGTAGGTCATTTGGTATCTCAAGAACAATGCCAAGAGCGTCTGAGATATCAGCTGTCATGGTAGATAGATTTAGCCACCAGTGCCAGGGTGAACAGAATGATAATTCATCCGGCGTTGATTCCTTGTTTTCCACTTTACTCACTGGAATAAATCATATCGATAAATTCGCCGCAACGACGAAGTATAAACAGCATGAATAAACTTTAAAAACTTTAAGTAAGTTGCATTAGCTGGGATAATGAAAACTAGTAGCAAGTTATTTTATGAATGATAAGGACGAGATGGAGCCCAATACAACAATGTACCACTTAAATTTAATACCTGGTGAAATGAAAAACAACTGCCGGACAACCTATAAGTTATTAAGAATATCTAGGTAAGAAGACTACTTTGTGAAAGATTCTCGAACTACCAAGCTTTACAGCAAGGGGCTATTTGGTATAGCGAAGAATCAATCGCAATAGCAAGGGATTAACTCTTTATTATATAAATAGTGATTACTCCAACGTTTTCTTTTGTTATGCTTATGTTGTCTACTTTAACATTACATTTGTTGATTTTTTTATTTGGGTGCTGTTATGATAAACTTAATATGTAAACTCGTAGTGTTAAGTAGTTCCCTCAGGTTTTATTAATATAGTATATTCTTACATTCAGTGACCAAATTACTTGGTGCTACGCGCTAGTCTGAGTATAAGGAATAGTTATAAGCTTTATTTTTATCTAGAAAGCTCCAGAGACCAAAGCCTTTGGCTTTAAAATTTCAAATTCAAACAATCACATTTTTTTAATCATTTGTTGAGTAAATAACACGTAGGTTAAGATGCTTTCCTATGAACTGTGAAATTATTTGTAGTACTAAATTGCCGTCAAACTTTAAATTTTTATAATAACTACGCGTGGATATGAAAACCTTACATAAAATTGGGATGAATGATCTGAAATTCCACTCACTTTCATTAGAGCTGTTGAAATTGATTACCATTGGAAATACTAGCCATATCTTTTAAAATGTTAACTTGACCACAGTAAATACCTTAATCGGGGTATATTCTCCGCGTATGAAATTTATTAGTAACCTGGCCAGATTAGGACTGGTTGGGCGATTAACTCTGACGATAACGGCAGGCAAGCCTAGGTGTGCAGCCCAACTAAGTTCCTTCATTAAAAGTTGAGCACCCGATTGACGGATGGATATTATGTCAGCATCAACATCAATCGTCGTCGATACCTTACCTACCAACGACTTCGTGATGCTTTTGCCTAAAGTCTGACAGAAACGAAAGTAGTTTCATACCATTTTTTTCGTAGGCAAGGTCAGAACGTGGATCAGGACCACCAGAGGTAACTGACAGATCTTCAACAATTGATTTTGGGTGAAACAAGTCTATGCAAAGAAATGAAAACCTGAAATTGAATAATGAAGTAAGTCGATAAGAACGGAA